AGTGCACGTGTCGTGCCTGCCACTTCAAGGGCTGAGTCAGTCAGCCAGCAGGTGTCTGGTTGCAGCAGCCATTTTAAAACACAGGTGAGCTATATAAACACAGCAGTTTACTGCTGGCAGCCAGGCAGAGACATTGCTTGGCTGAGCTGTTTTATGAAACATCTGGCAGGTAAAAGCAGGGGAATCTGGGCAAGACCTAAAACTACCCTGCTGGGATAGGGAGGCCTGGTGGGACTGCTGGTGGTGTGGCAGCCTCGCTCACACACCAGGACCACTCATGTCCCTTGTGAAAGGTGGGTTGGAGCACCACAATAACCCCTAGCCCCCACAACACTGTGGGTATAAGGGGCCAGGCATGGCTATGGCCACCTGAGCCCAGGGGGTGTAAGACCCCAGGTGGGGTCAGGCACAGCTGTGGCCACCTGAGCCCCCACAGGAGAATGAGACCCTGGAGGCCCAAGGGAGGGAATAGATGTGTAGCCCCAAAGAGGGGGGCGGTAGCAAGGGCCCTGATGAGGGTTGAGTAGGGCTGAGGGATAGCCTGAAGGGCAGTACATGGGTCAACCCCCTGAAGAACAAGTTCAGGGCAGTGTGGAGCCCCAGTGAGGGGGCAGTGTGGAGCCCAGTGAGGGGTTACAGGTGGCTGGGAGACTAGTATGTGGGGCCAGGGGCCCAGAGTGTGTTTGCATATGTTTGTTTAGAGTTGCCCTAAGAGGGGCCAGGGCAAGCTTGACCCAGGTCGGGAACTTGGCTGGTCACTACCCAGGTGAGGGTTGTGGGAGAGGCCCAAGAGACTGTACATCTGTCACCCAAGGCATGATCTGGATAAAGCCTCAAGGCGTACAGGAGCTGCTCCAAGAGGGAGCAGGGTGGAACAAGTTGTTGATGCGAGAAAGAGACTCTGTAATCGGGGGTGGAGTGCAAGAGGCTCTAGTGAGAGGAGGGTGGTGTGAATGTGCATGTGAAAGAGGCCTGACAGTGAGGGCTAAGCTGTAATGTAATGGATAGTCTCCTGCATTTTCCACTAGGAAGGGGAACAGCAAAGTCATGGCAGGCGAGACTGGGTGGACTGCCCCATAGAGACAGGTGGGCAGGCTGACTAGAGACTTGGCCCTGAGTCTGCCCCCTGTCACAGACTGTAACTGACATATGTTTTTTAAAAAGTGCATGGAGGTAAATGATAACAGTAGCTAGAAGGTGGCTTCCACCTCCTCAAAAATGTTTCTGAAACCTCAGCTTGTGAAGCTCAAGTAACATAGCTCTGTGTCTTTCCTGACCAGAAAATACTAATGTTGCCTGGGTATTTCCTAATGGAAACCAATCTAATTTAATTTCTTAGGTTCAAAACCATTGCAGGTATAAGTGCAGTAAGTCAGGAAGACTAGCTAACTGAACCAGATAGCACCTTCCAAAGTCATAATTTTATGTCTGTGATCTGCCAGTTGGATTCTTATTGTTGGTACAGGTGTGAGAGTGTGTCAGCATGGATCCATTTGAACAGTTGGGACTTACATTGAGTGGTATGGGAGAAAATGCTGGATTTTGTTTTGCAGAACAGTATGAAGAAAAATTGCACTGTCCCTTTGGGCAATCTTTTGCTTTTTGGATATTCCACAGAACTACAGCTTTTTACCTTTTAAGGTATAAAAAATTAGAAGCTATCTATGATGCCTGTAGGTATTATAGGGCTTGCTAGTACTGCCCTGTGCTCGTCTGCCTACAGGTGGCGACAGGGTAGACCTTGGCTCTGGATCACCGGGTCTGCCAGGAAATGGTTCCTACGTTTTTCTCTCCTGCCATGACCTATATATTCCCGGGAGGCAATGTCCACAGTGATCCTGCCTGGTCTTGATCTCTGTGTCTTCTGTGGGGCTCCAAACCTCCCCTTTACCCCAGCCTAGCCTCTCCAGATGATGTTTTACGATATTCTTCCGCAGCCAGGTTGCAGTGCTGCCTGTTGTAATCTTATTTGTCCCTACCCCAGGGTGTCCTAGTGCCTCATAGTTTCATGGTTTCATAGTTGGTAGGGTTGGAAGGGACCTGAGCAGATCATCAAGTCCGACCTTCTGCCATAGGCAGGAAAGGATGCTGGGGTCAAACAACCCTGGCTAGGTAATTATCTAGCCTCCTTTTGAAGACCCCCAGGGTAGGAGTGAGCACCACTTCCCTTGGAAGTTGGTTCCAGATCCTAACCACTCTGGCTGTGAAGTAGTGCCTCCTGATATCTAGCCTGAATCTACTCTCAGTCAACTTATGGCCATTATTTTTTGTTACTCCTGGTAGTGCTCAGGGGAACAGGGACTCTCCCTGGTCCCCCTTGGCCAGTTTATAGACAGCCACCAGATCCCCTCTCAGCCTTCTCTTGTGGAGGCTGAACAGGTTCAGGTCCTATAGCCTTCCCTCATAGGGCCTGCCTTGCTGCCCCCTAATCATGTGAGTGGCCCTCTGGACCCTCTCAATGCTGTCCACATTCCTCCTGAAGTGCAGTGCCCAGAACTGGATGCAGTACTCCAACTGCAGCTTGACCAAGGTTGCATAGAGGGGGAGGATCACCTCTTTGGACCTGCTCGTGATGCCTCTTTTGGGTACACCCTTCCAGGGGCCGGTCTTGGCCTGTGCTAAAAAAAAATCAAAATAAACTGCAAAAAGAAATCACAGAAAAACCCTGGCTGCTTCTCAGCCTTCTTGTCAGGTTCTGGCAATGTCCCCTTTTCTCATGATCAGGTGCTCTACCTCCCAATCACCATAGTTCAGGCAAAACAATCCCTTAGTCCATTCTTTGCTGTGTGCTAGCCTGCCCTGCACCCCTGTGAACCTTCACAGTCTCTTTGGGGTTTCCCCCTGTGCAGGAAGGCTCTACCTGTGACCGTAGATTTTTTCCTTAGGCCCTCCTCCGGATCCTGTGTTGGAAAACGCCACTCCAGAGATTCTCTCAGGCCTTGTGGACTCCCTCGCTCCGGATCCTCAGCTGTAGCTCCACTCTGGAGATTCCCACTAGCCCTTGTTTGCAGGCCTCCGCCTGCCTCAGAGTCACCCCCCCAGCGCTCCTCAGGCAGCTCTGCAATTTCTGCCTGCCCAGATGCTCAGCTGCTGCTCTCTCCCTGCAGCCTGCAGGGAACTGACCCCTCTCTGCCCCTCTCCAGGGCCAGAAAATACCTTTGAGCAGTCTCCCTCTGCCAATCCTGAGCGAGATGCTGCTCCGGAAATTGGGTGGGTATTTTCTTTCCTTTCCAGGCTGCAGCTGCAGCGCTGCTGGCCCTCCACGCTGTAAGTTCTGTCTCACTCCTTCACGCTATCATCAAACTTAGACATCATCAAACTAGAATATTCAGTATTTAGCTGGAAATACGACCTTGTTTACATAGAAGGAAAGCCATGTTCTTGAATCAAGTAGCCTAACAAAATTTCTGTATAACTTCTTTTTTAAATAAGTCTGGCTTCCTAAAAATGTTGTTATGGTCATTCCAGCAGTTGTAAGACCCAGCACAGACCTCATGTTGCTGAGCTCTTGAAAAATGCAGTAGTAAATGTTGCAAGAAAAATTAAATTTGGTCATGTCAAGTTGACCGAACTCCCAGAAGCCTTTTTGAGATGATTCAGAATTGTTAATGATTGGGGCCTGAACCTAACCCCAGTAAAATGCTGACTGCACATTTAGTACAGAACAATAGAACTATACCATGATGACCTTTGGGACTAATTAAATGTAAGAACAGGATAATAACAGGAAATGTAATAGGAAAATATTCTGTGTGTGTAAGGATATGCTATTGTCTAACTTAGAATTTATCAGTTAAAATATTATAATCCACTTAGCTAGCATTAATGATGATGACATCACTAAAGGGTTAAATAGCCTAAGCAAGTGAAGTCAGTGTTCGCTGTTCACTGTTTGCTGTATGGATTTCTGAGGGAGAGGTCTGCATGGATTTCTAAGGAGAAGATCAAGTCTTTAGATGGGAGCAGCACAACCCAGGAAGCTTTCCGAGGGCGGCCAGCTGTGGGAAGTAACTCCTGCGTATCAGCTCTAGACAGACCGAAGAGTCACGTGAAGAGTCATGTTAATGCGCTCAGTCTTTGCTAACTGTCTTCTTATATTCTGGCAGTCCCAGTAAAGTTGACTAGTATTCTGGCAGTCCCAGTTGATGAATTGTTTTGTGTGTAGTAGATGTTTTGTAGTCAATAAAGCTTCTGACTGTTTGTCAGACCAGTGCCGGTGGTTAATCACAGAGCTTTCCTTGCCCACAGAGAAGTAGGGCTTGAATGTGTTTCAGCCCAACAGTAGACAGCTCCTGCCCTAGGGGGCTTATTAGCTAAATAATAGAAATAACACCTAAAGACCTACATAAGAGAAGTTTTAATTTCATTTCAAATATTACAACCCTGTAGTGTTAATTTTAATAAATCTTTTGTTCTTTGGGTATGGATATCATCTGCAATATTAATCGAAGTGCTTCCTTTCATTGAATTTCTTTCCAGAGAAACAGTTTTTTCCTGTGTTCCCACAGATGCAGTAACCACAAAATAAGAGGTTGTTGGGAAAGAGAAGGGTGGAAAACATCATCTATACTTTTCAGGTGTTTTGTCAAATTTGTATTGCTGGGTATTTTCTAATCGGCTTTATTAGCAAAGTGACATTGTCTCCTTTATAATATTTATTACCCAGTGCTACATTTTGAAATGAAATGGGTTTTGGGAGGCAGAAGCACGTGCCTGTTTTTCCTCAGTCTTTTGTCATAAATCTACAACATTTATTTTTCAGCCTAGTCCCTTTTTGTTATTTTTATAATTTACCTACAAATTCTTCAGTACTGAACTCTTAAGTACTTCTAGTGGGATGGGATGTTCCCAAAGGCAGAAGTACCTGTTAATGTGAAAAGTAATGTATGAGTGGCAGTGTGAACACTGAATGCATGCTGACGGTAGTAACCAATGTAATAGTTGGTGATGTCTAAATCTCTCAAGTTCAATTCTGATAGCTTTTAGGACAAGTCTATCCAGAGGGCATGGCATAAATCTTTAAAATAAGTATACTCCAGAGGCCTTTTACATCATGTTTACTAAATGCTTTCTTTTAAATTGCTGAGGTAGCCTGGCTGTGCATTCAGGCTGGTGCATTCAGGCTGTTTCACATTAACATGACCTCTTCTTGAAGCTGACAGGTTGGTGATTTCTCCCCTTTTGCAGTGGTTGTTGGGCATGAGTGTGTGACTCACATTTTTCTTGTGATATAAGGGATTTGAAGGTAAAGTGTTTTGTAATTTCAGAAATACAAAAATTTATATAAAACGTACAGAAAATTTGTTTTCTGTTTGCTGTTAAGTCAACACTTACAAGGATGAGGCCCTTTTGGGGTGACTGATCTTATCAGTATAGTGATAGATGGGAGTCTGGAGCAGGGTGTAGTAGAAAGCCCCCTTTTCCTCTTGCCTGCAGTTGCTCTCGCCTCCTTGGATATGTTTTTCCTCTTCTACCTTTTCTTCCTTCCTCTTTCTTTCACTTTAAGATAAGGAATTGTGTTTTAAAATTTGTATGTGTGAATTTTGTATCTCCCTGTGTATTTTGGTATTTTTATCTATTTGTGTGCCATGGCGTTACTTTTGTAGTTTATATTTTATACTCCTCACCTTTCAACTAAATGTGTTTAGTTTCATAAGTAAGTTATACATTGTAACAATAGTAACAAGGGCAGGAGTCAAACTGCTGCTTCCCTGTATCAGGTGGGCCCCTGAAAGAGTGAGTGAATCAGTGATTGAATGCATAACACAGTAGCAGGCAGCAATTAACACCTAGGAAAACTGCAGATCAACCAAGGAAGAAATCAATAGGAGACAATGTAGCAACCGGGAAATCTCTAAACGTCACTGATCAAGGGCTAGAAGCCCTGGTCTGAGTTAATCAATGTCGGGGACCAACTTTTGGGCTGAATATCTCCAGATTGACTGCTCCCAGAGCCCTATTCAAAATTCATCAATGGACTCCCAAACCTGCATGTACATACGGACGACCCCTGGGGCTGACAGATGCCATCCAGTAGACACCGAGGAGGAAGTCCCACAAGGGTCAATGACCCCTGGATTGGGCAAACCTGAAAACTGGGGAGTCACAAAAGTCTGCCAAGGACAGATAAAAAAGCAGTGAAAAGTGACCCTCAGTGGCGCCCTCTTTATCTCCAACTTGACCAGCACCTGACCTGTCCAGCCAGAAGGACCAGCCGGTGACCCCCTTCTGGAGGATAACACCACGCTGGAAGAAGCCTCGACTGGCCATCGACGGCAGACTTCAGCACCTGTGGGATAGGTATACCTGACTCTTGTAGCTCGCTACTGTGTGTATGCATGTGTGTGTGCGTGTGTGTGTGTGTGGGGACCAGCCCCAAGGTTTATGATTTAACTTCATTACAGTGCTTCAATCTGCCTAATAAACCAGAATTTTAAGGATCCCGAGTTGGACATTTGTAGCCAACAAGGGCAGGGGCCTGAAATGGGAAAAGGAGGTATAGAGCAGGGGTATCAGGCTCCACAGCCTGGATGAGAGCCATGGAGCTGGTCCATGAGCCATATCAAGCCTGCAGACTGGCCCTGCATTAGGGTGGCCATCATAGAGGAGAGTCTGGTTGTCCTCTGTTCTTTATTGATATGAAACTGGATGCCTTTATGTCCTCTATTTTTGTCTTGAAGAGAGGATAAAATAGCAGAAAGCTGGAATGTCCTCTATGATGGCCATCCTACATTGCATACTGGATCCAGTTCGCAGCTGCATGCCCCACAGCCCTGGCCCGATGTGCATCATGCACCAGGCTTGGCTCCACAGCTGGAAAATAGGGATCTGTGGGCCAGATCTGTGGGCCGTGTCTTTCAAGTGAAAGGTTAAAAGGTGCATTTTATAAATTGCAGGTAGCACCTGTGCTGTTGATCTGTGGGAGTGCTTTGCTGCTTTTATTATGATTAATTATATTAATTATATTACATTTCTTCTGGACAGTAGGATAAGAGTAAGTGTATGTATATGGTGATTCTTGTATGAGTCTTAGGACAACCCAGGCCACTCGTCCTGTTTCTCTTTATATTGCTGATAGTCACATGCAGAGGTTCTCAGTAAAACATAAATAAATAAATAAATAAAAACCACTGTTTGCTTGGAGTTACTGCCTGGTACCTATGAGAAAGTAGCTTTCATTCATTTAAAATGGTCACTTCCTGCCCCTGCCCCAGGGGCTGCAATGGAGCAGCACTGAGCAGCCTGTGGTACGGGGAAACTGTGCAGTGGGAGAGCCTACATAGAGGCAGCCCCCCATGCACACAGTACAGGCGAAGTGGGTGCCTTCATGACAAGTGGGCCAGGGGGCCCATGACTTGCACTGTTGTGGCCTGTGCAGCATGCGGTCCCCACTGGCGCAGCCCACAGGGTGTGCAGCCCCTGACTACTTAGAAGTTGGACAGCCCCATTGTATGTGCCAACTGCCAAAGGCCTCACTGGGAAACTTCCATGGAAGACAGAGGAGTTTTGGAAGGAAGTGGGCTGGGATATACTTTAGCACCTGTTTTAGCATCATCCTATGACTTGCATACAAAATGGCTGTACTGAACTGGATCCAGTTATGGGTGTGAGACACCTTCTGATTAGGTAGAAATAGATAGGATAGATATCTGGAACCCCCCTGTCATTCCCCAATAAATGGATCTGTCTGCAGCCAACTAGCTTAGAACCAACTCAGAAGCAGCATTGACTCAGACTTCAAAAAATGCCTGAAGAGATGATTTAACCTGCATCAGAACTGTTTATTATATATAAATGATTGATAAGTATATATAGGGGAGAGCATGAGCTGTGCTGCATAGAGAACAACCTTCATCACATGTGGAGGTATTTCAGAATAACTTCTGTTCAGCTGTACTGTTTTAGAGACCTTTGAAAAGTATGCCTATGTCTATTATTTAGTCATTGGGAGTTTAAGCTATTACCACTCCCTCTATTTGACAAAGGATTGAATTTATTTTCTGTCTTTCTTTCTGTTTCTCTCTTTTTCCTTTACATGGCTTGGCTGATTGTCAGTGCATAGACTGCAGACTGCATTTATCATTACTAGACATTGCATCTGTTGCTTCCTGGTGACAGCAGAGATGATCAAGAGAGAATGCTCTTTGTCTTAACTCATCCAGGAGTGAATACAGACTCAGTCTGTGTCATTGCAACCAAGCTGAATTAGA